TGTAAAAATTGTACCATTTTAAGTGTTTGTCCGAGTTCGCGGATTGAGGTCAGAATTAAATTATTTGCAAGGCTTGTAATCTTAAAGCCTTGTATTTGGAGAACATTCTACATGCGGCTTACTTTTTTGAGTATGCCAAACCTGCTGAGTGCAGAAACTGGGCTCATTGCTTGGCCAAGGATTTACTGTATTGTACGAATGACTCCATAGAAGGTACCAAATCGGAGTACCATGCGACATGTTCCATCTTAAATAGAATCTTCATATATTAAGCTTAAGCTGATGTACAGAGTAGCAGTTGCATTTCCCACAATGAAAAGAGTATGCCTCACGATATTATTATATTTATCTCAGCCATCCTGAGATATGAGAACTGAGAGTTTGTGGTTTGACATCGTTATCGCAACTTGGTTGTGTTGTCAAGGTGACCTAGAAGTACGAAGTCCTCTGTCATTGAGAGTTATGATAATTCCCAGCGTTGTACGTCATAATAACTGCTAGAGAAAATGAGTTCCTACTACTTCATCATGAGATATTTCCACTATCAGTCTCTAAATCATCTTAGGGGAGCTAGGTTTATTAGGCTAACTTTTTATGCATTAAATTTGGATTTATTGCAGGCAATTACAGGTCCAATTTGTTTAATGCATTATTTCAACCTATTGTATGATATTAGCTCCTCCTGGACAGCCCATAATCACAAGTCCGAGCCGACGAGACGTCGACGGGGTATCTAGCATTGTTGTGGAGGAGGGCGACCCACTGTCGTCCGCTTGCACAGCCATTCCTGCCGGTCAGCCGCCTGGTAGCCTTACCTGGCGCCTGTTGTCACCCCACTTGGCGACAGTCCAATCGTCTTCGGGGCAGACGAACCGGACAGAGAGAAAAGGCAATACGTCTGTCGACGCTTCAATGAGGAGTCGTGAACGTCCTCTCCCGAAGCAGCACTATCAAACCACACTGTTCAACGCGACCAGTCTCGATCTTCTAACCGTGGCAGCATCTTCTGGCGGAAGTCCTCCCATCGTCGAGGCCTCGACGTCACGGTTCCGTCTGGAGGAACCCCTTCTGGGGTTGAAGAGCCAGCTAACTCTGTCAAAGCTGTCCAGGGAGGACCACACCGCCCGCATTGTGTGCTCAGTCAGGCACAGTCTGGGCGTGGAAAGGACTGCTGGCCTTCAGATTTTGGTCAAATGTAATTATTTCATGTTTATATGAAGCGATAAATTGTGATAATAATGTCTAAAACTATGATTAAATTAGCCTAACCTCGTTTTCACAACCTCGTTGTTCTGTCAGTGTGACCTTGTCGTGTTTTGAGTGTGATCTCGGCAAGCCTACCTTGTCCGGCGTCCTCTCAATAATAGCTATGCTTGGTTCTATCCTCAGAACTCGAACATAATACATATTTAACATATTTAACATGCCTCTCAATGAATCTTGCCTCCCAAACACGTACAAGAGACAAGTTAAGTCTTTGTATAGACCAACACCTACTAAACGGTTGTTGACTCCCTCACCTCATTTTCCCTGTTGCACTAGCCTACCCTACATTCCTGATTATCATGCCTGCTGATATCGCAAACATGATACCGTTTTCCCACTTATTTCAGTTTGTCATGGGTAAAGCTTTGGTTATCCTCAACACTGAGCTACAATTTCGTCAATTGAAAAACATACGAAACGTTTGGGAATGTAAACAGTCTAGGTAGGATACTGGAACTTATCATATATACTATGACAGAGGACGCTGGACAGGTTACGCCTTATAAGGTCACCTTGGCAACAAGACCAAGTTAAGAAGGCGGAGTCAGACTTAGTTCTATACACCGAAAAGTGACTGATCAAAATAGGCAAATCCATCTCGGTTTTCATACATACAATTAAAATGTAATATATTTCTTTAAGGCTATTTTTCTACCCATTTATAATTACATTCTATGCAAGTCTAGTGAATAATGAAATAAATTAAATTTTATGCCCTCTAACGAAATATAAAGAGATCTAATTAAATGAATTTTTAGTTTAAACAGCGCGTTATACTGTGTAGTTAAATATAGACATGGATCATATCATAATCCCAAAGGATTCTCCTTTTTTACTGCACATTTCTGTTTTCTCCTTTAAGGAAGGTATTCAGTCTGAGTATTGACAATCATTTCTGCTATCTGATCAGTAAATGTATGAAGTAATCTGCTGGAATAGCGAGTTTTGTGCTCGGTCAAAGCTAAATATGCATAATTTTGAGTCGCTTTATCTACCAAAAGGACATGCATCAAGTTGCAAGTCTCATGAATGCTGTCATCCCTCAAATATTGCTTTTACTTATAATAATAACCCATGCGATGCGGAGACTAAACTTTATATATCAAGATATGAAGAGCAAGATGGTGGTGCCCTCGGTATGGTGTAGTCTCCTTTCGATGTATATAGATAGATTGACCTCGTTTGCGTAACTTGGTCTTGTTGTCAAGGGGACAAAGTTGGATACACTTTATCAGAAATCCTCTGCCATAGTAGTTATAATTTTCTAGCGTCAGACTGTAGACTACGATGCTGGCGAAACGTCTAAGAGTGTACTAAATCCACAGTTTAACGCTGAGAATTATGATAACTACTATGACAGAGGACTTTGCAAACGGTGCGTCTAACTCAGTCACCTTGACAACAAGACCAAGTTGTGAAAACGAGGTCAACCCACCTCTATAAATTAAAAGGAGACTGCGGCCATACCGAGGGCCACATCATTTTGGTATTAATATCTTGAAATATAAAGTTTAGTCTCCGCAACGCAATATTTGAGTGAACGTAGTAATTATGAGGTAAACACACCTTTATATTTCAACACTCGATTACATTTCACAGGAAACTTTATGCCAATGGACAAGTAGCTCCAGATCAGGGATCCCAATTGCCTCATGTTTTCGAAAGTCCGCTTATTAGGACTTGATCTTATTATATCTAGTTAGAATTACCTCACTTAGCATAACCCTTGATTCCATAAACTTAGTTGGATCTTTAAAAAAAATTTACTTTAATTACACGAGTATCGTGCTTCCTCTTAGGGATTACTGTGACGCAATCTGATGATTGTACGCTAGGGATGCACGTTCTACTAGCAGGCAGAAAGTAATCTTTCTTTAGGCATCCCTGCTAGTGAGAGATTGTTTTCATAACACGAGTTAGTGTGATAGAAGCCATTGAAAAAGGGTTTTCCATGATCATATCCATCAGAGTGAGTCAGTGAAGTAAACTTACTAGGTCAGCCCTAAAATTATTATGTATCATCGCGAGTAACCATGGGAACAAGATGTACACCTAGGCCACAAGATTCACTTTATTAAATTTGATTTTATTCTTGCATGCTTCGCGAGCTATGTTTAATTTTCTATTTAACTTTTTACAATGTTAAACAAAGTCTTCTTTCTAAATATCCGTGATCTAAAATTGTCAGGCTCTCCTATATTTTAATTG